TATATTATATTATATTATAGTATATACTATATTATATTATATTATATTATATTATATTGTATTGTATTATTTAAATTATATTATATTATATTATATTATATTATATTATATCATATCATATTATATTATATTATATATATAATATGTAGACACACTGCAGGCGACATTTCATGTGAACTTACATACATCCATACATACATACATGCATGCATACCTACCTACCTACCTACCTACCTCCCTACCTACATACATACAGACAGACATACATTACATTGCGAGCAGGCGTGCATACACATATAAGCAAACCTGAATATGCGTATACACCCATGTCTATATGCATATGTACAGTACCTACAAAGAGGGGCACAGCAATGTCAGCGAGAAAAGCCACTGCTTGTTCACAAGCTTGCCGAATAAATGTCGCAGCTAAATAGGCCTGCAGGCAGTACGGCAAGCAGGTTGGTGGTGCGCAGGCAGAACAGTAGACGAACAGAAGACATGATGCATTTACCAACAGCTCCATTGCATTTGCAGGTCTCCAAGACACACTCTCTCTCGTCCTTGCTCCCGTCTACTTGTCAAAGTATCTTGTGCATAAGCACGAGCGACCTTCCTGTCTATACATCCCTTCGAGCTACGACAAGACCACCTGGAAGAATATTGAACGTTTGCGGAGAGAGAGACACACTTTCAGGCACGCTAAAACCCTCCCAACTTACCTTGAAGCCGGGGCCCTGCAATGGCTGATGAGGCTCAGGCCCTGGAACAGCAAATGTAGGGCATCTGTCTGATTCGCAACCACCTCTTTGCCATTTCGACTCAAAACACTCGCTCAAAGCAGGCATGGCGGGTTTATAAGGTTTGTTTAGCCTTGGGAGTTTGGAGGATCTTCTTCGCGAATCTTGGTTTGGGAAGTGTTCCGTTTTTACCTAAGGGCGTCTGCATGTGGCTGGCTTGCCGCAGAGGAAGGTTAAAGTGTTGCTTTAAGGCACGTGACAAATTAAAATACGTTCATTGATTGGCGACAAAGGATCACATCTTGGGGTAAGATCTCTTCTGGCAGCTAGGTTCATCCATGTGTATAAGTACCTTATGGACCCAAAACCGAACCCTGGAGTGCCTGGCGGAGGAGTCCGACCAAGACAGGTCCGCCTTCACTCGCGCGGATGGGGACCTTTTGTCAGAAGCCGGGTTTCACCTAGCCTTCCTTAACACTGGGTACACATGACATAGGGTTTCGTGCATGCGGCCAGGGTCCGTAATTAGTGCTTCTCAGCTGTAATGGCCTTTGCCATAGCAACAAAGACCGATGCAAGAACAAACTGTCGACAAATGCCGGCAACAAGCCTGGCATTCAATTGTCAGCTCTCGAAAGTCAAAAGAAAGGATCCGTTGAACGACTTAAACACATACAAGCCCTTTCAACCTAAAAATAAAAAAAACTGAATGCCTGCTTATTCTAACACTATTTTAGGGGGTTCCTTATTATAAATGAATTTCATGATGCCCCAAAACCCTGGCAACTTGGCCTCCGACAATGCCCGAAAACCCCCCAAACCCCAACAGCCCTAAGCCCGAAAACCGCTACACCTTAAGGAGCTATCTGAAGGGCTGCCCTAGGATATCTTCCAAGCTCGGTTGCGAACATCGGAAGCGCGACCGAAGTTTAGGATTCAAAACTCTGGCGGTATACATCGATTAACCGTTAACCCTCACTCCCTTGAATGTTCCATGTGCCTTCCGTCGCCTCTCTGAGAGCAGGTCGATGACGGCGTCCTTGCTGATGTGTATACGAACTATATGTGCGTACGTATGTATGGATGGGTGAATGAGGTGGATGAATGTCTGTCTGTCTGTCTGTACTAATGAGCCCCATGTAGCACGACATTCCCTGCAAATACCAACCTTGTCAAAACCAGTTTTGTATCCCTTTTAATCAAGCCGAAAAGCTGTGTACCCGATCGGGGATATCTCTTTCTTTGCCCCTTTGCGGGTCATCTCATGCTTCGCCAAACGGCTAAAACCTGTTCACACTGTTAACACACGCTTTTAACTCCAGCCCCACTTCTTGGAGGTGCGGGATGCTAATCTAGTGAAAATAAGATAGCTTAAAACCCAGTTATTTCCGCAGTAATTAGCCATGATTACCTAGATTCCCTTACTTGGGGGACTTATAACTGGGTGATAACTGCGGTTACAGTCATATTCGAAGCACCCTGAACCACAGGCGCCCGCGATCCGAAAAGGCCTTGTAGAGCTCGTAAAAGGACACGGAAATTTCGACATCTTCCTTGTCCGAGATGCTTGCCAAGGCCTGGCCCACGCAAACATAACAAAGGATCTGTTCCTTCACCATGATATCCGAATCATAGTAGAAGCTTGTCCCACACCTGACTATGACATTATCAGTTATCGTCAAGAGTCAATACGGGTGGATCTCGGGCTTCGAAGTGAGCGGTGCGACTCATTTAGCCACCTAAACCCTAAACCCTACACCCCAAACTAGTCACCTTAGTTCCACGGCTCAGCTCAGCCCGTGCCAAGAATTTCCCCAAGGCCATTGGGTCTACGGAAGCTGGGAAGCATCTGCCCTCTAGCATGTTGATTAGGTCCCGGGCCACTAAACACACCATAATACATAATGTATAATATACGCCATATGGTATGTAGGTGTATACAGTATATACTTGTAGTAAATAATATATGAAATATCGTATATAAACGTATATGGTACATACTATAGAATATCGCATGTAATATGCTACTCTGTTGCTGCATGTAAGCTCGGAGTTGTTCGGAAGCGGCTCAATCACAAGCAGAGATTTGCTGCTCTGGGCTCACGGGCTCCGAAAAAGATCCCTAGCCACACCGGAGAAGAGAACCAAGGTTTTTGGCCATACCGGTATGTACCATACAGCTACATCTGCGGCATTCCCAAGCGACCCTCGATAGTACGATAGGATTCCGATCTAAGAGGAATGAACACACCCCAAACCCGCATGAAGC